TTTTCTTGCAATTTTTTGGGGTAAGGGCATTTTTTTTTCATATTTTGACTCTACTATTGCGTTTCTTGTGAAGAACGTAAAATTGCTGATGCAGCAGCTTGTGTACAGTATTTATAAAGATAATGAATAATGAAAAAATGGTTCATGTGTTTTCAATATTTTTCGGATGCAAATCATCTAGGAGCCTAGGCCTAGTAGGCCTACAACTTTCATTCCCTTGGCCATATAGCCTTATAGGCCTAGCCTAGTTTCTAATTTGATATTTAAGTGCAAACTATTGTCATTGAATCTGCATTAGCCTGCCTAGAGCCTTTGCCGTGTCAAGCCTAGCTAGGTAGCTACAAACCGATAGGGGGCGCTATAGATCGGCGATACAAACATCGCCATAGAAAATAGTGCCCCGAAGGAGATAGGATATCCAATGTATTAATTTGGTATTTTGCGAAAGTATACCACAATTTGGCCGAATTACTTCCAGATAACTCTCCAGAAATGATTTCCGGACCAAGTTATGGGCTTTTCAGGCGCGCGATTTGATATAGTAGAAGTTTTTTAAGGGCAACAATTTTTTCGTCGTTATCATTAGAAGGAAACCTTCGCTAGTTTTTTAATTAACAGGTTTGTTTTCTTCAGTTTTTAAACTATCAAGGAAAGTAAGTTCTAAATAATATGTGTGTGCATATTAATTAAAAAGATAGCATAAAATATCATCATTCTATTGTCTTATCGCGTACCGAAGCTAGGCTCGGCTCGTACGCGATAGAGGACGCCCTTGTTAATTTAACGGCGGCTACACGCGGGGTAAACAATGTTTTCTCCGCTGGCTGCCTTGTTGTCTCAGCCCTGCAATTAGGCCTAAAGTTATGAGATTCAATGTAATATATTTTACGTATAATCTGTAAGTTGATAATAATTATGAAATCTAATATAAATATATACCAAATTATAATCGTTAGTGATTGTAAAGTATTTTTTAGGTGAATAATCAGAGTTAAAAAGCTTCTTTTTTAAACTCATTAGGCCCTATAAAAATATTATTAGTTTATCACCCTATTTGGGCAGGAAAAGTGATGAGGGAGGGAGGCTTTTTTTATTTTTTATTTTCATCTGTCTTCTTGTAGATTGTGAGATGCAGTTTTCTGTAAATGAAAAGTTGGCAGCTGAGGTGAAGTTGTTAGAAGCTTCAGTAGTGGATCTGAAGAAGCAACTGGAGATAAAACCAAAAGTTGTTCTGAAAAAAATAGGTAGCTGCAAACAGTTGAACCAGACAATTAGACGAAAGAATATGCAGATCAAGTGTTTGAAAGAAAAAGTACACAAAATGAAGTAAACCATGAAACAACCATCAACACCTTTAGATCAACAACTGACAAACCTGAAAGGTCAACTATCATCCGTAAAAAAAACAGAAATACAGACAAACAAGTAAATATAAGAAGAAAACTGGAAGCCTGGAATCAGACATGGTAAAAGTGAAAAACAAACTTGATGTACTAAGGAGGAAGTTGAGATGGTTAGAGGATGAAAACACCAAGCTTAACGAAAAAATTGCAATGTTAACTGCATCATCACCAATAGAGATAGTCACAAAAAAAGATGGTAAAACATTCAACTGGCCTGTGCGGAATGCAGTTTACTTTTGCCTTGAGCAGGAGGTTCCAGCGAGGAACATTGCACATGTACTGTGTTATGCAGTCGAAGAACTTGCTGGTGTGAAAATTGGAGTTTTACCTGATGCAGTCTCCTGTTTGCACATGCTGCGGAAAATGAGAGAGATATCCCGAATACAAGTTAGTGAGGTTTTACTGTAGAATCAGCAATTGACACAACCCTTAAGTATGATGGCACAAACAAAAAACGTACACACTACTTGGAGGTGCAAATTTCAGACAAAGATGCCACATATACAACTGGCATAACCAGGCTACCATCTGGGACAGCTGCAGCCAACACTTAGGGGATACTACAAACATTTGAAGATCTAGGAGCAGCTAGCCAGGCAACAGGAGGTTCTGCATCTAAACAGCACATCTTGGATGCAATCTCAAACACTATGACGGACCGCTGTGGGGTGAACAAGGCTGTTAATAGGGAACTAGTTCATTCTATGTCAGAAGGTATCAAAGATCTAAATGAATTTTTTTGTGGAATGCACCCCTTGGATACATTTGCGAAATCCTGTGATAAATCCATCTCAACATGGGAGCAAGAGATTCTGCCGGTGGAACACAGAGCCATGTGTTTTCGACGTAGAAGCTTAAGTGGTGCTCAAAGTTTAATTACTGGCGTCTGCAAGTTTTGCTTCAACAACGCTATTGGAGTGCCAGCTGAAATAGATGTATTTCTGAAGAGCAGGTGGATAAAAGTTACCGATATCTTATCACCTGTGATGGGTAACAGGTTCCACGTCTTATATCGTAATGCTGGAGCTGTTTACCTTCTATTGCCCCACATTGTGGAATTCCTGACCAAAGTGTGGCCGCCAACGAACGACTTGCAAAGAGCTGTGTTGATTGATAGTAGGACGTCTGAATACACAACAGGATGCCGAGCTCTTGGCCTAATAGGTAAGTATGTGTCGGGTCCTTGGATGAGGCTGGTAGAAAGGAACCAAAACATTCTTGATTTAAATATGCCATTTACGCTTGCTGTCAAAAATATAGAGGAGTGGATGGTTGACGCATCCTTACTTGTAAGAGGTGAAGCAGAATGCTTGTTTGCTGATGTTCCAGTAATCAGAGATGCTGTCTTCAATAACTTAACTACACCTCGTGAAAGTGATAAGATAGTTGAAACATTGTTGTCGAAACTTCTAGACGTTATTCTTGATGTATGTAAGAGACAACTTGATGATCAGCTGCCTGGTGGCATACATCATAATCCCAGTGAAGCGTTACAACAGCAAGCCAGGTCATGTGTAGGTAACAACATCAGTGGAGAACGAGTATTTGGGCTACTAGACCACTATGTCAGGAGGGCACCGAATGCAAGTCTAAGCTACATTGAGAGTAAAATAGTCTATAAATTCAAACAAGACATCAGATTGGTTGGCGAAGAAGTCAGTGGAAGAACAAGAGGATCTACTCTCGAAGGCGAGACTACTGTGCTTAAAAAGTAAGCAATTAGAAGCAGAGAGAAGTGAGACATTGACTGTTCAAAAGAAACAGCATCTTGATGAAAAACGGAAAGAAATCATCAGCAGGGAAGACAGGGCTAGGCTGCTAAATGAAAACCTACTAAATGACCTAATACAGTATGGTGGACTATGGCAAGATAATATCAGCATGAATTCAAATTTGGAGGTGCTGACATCCAAGAAAAGGCAGTTGATTGCATTGAAGGCCCAACTGAATGTACGGAAGGAGATTCTAAATCAAAAGGCAGATGCATCCTTGTTCTGTTTTCTTGTAAAGGAAAATAATTTTCTGTTGATAAATTGAAAGAAAATTTATTTGTTCTGATGTCCTCTGAAGATTTAGATGATCTGCACATAAAGAATATAATAATGGATCCCCTAGTTCTCCTAGAAAAGAAAATAACTCATCTGTGGTCAAACGAGAATGATGGAATCATATCCGACACACGGTATGAATGCACTATAGCTGAGTATAAGGAAGCAACTGGAGAATTCAAGATTGTATATGTGGCTCCCTTAACAAAGGAAATCGATCATTATTATTTGGATACCGATGAAATTGTTGCAGATATGAAGAGTGGTGATTTGATAGTCCTATGGGACTGATGTACTAAATCAACATTTTCTTGAAAATCTGAAAAAAGTAGAGGATGATGAAGATCAATACTTGTCAAAACAAACAGTTCTTTTCAGAACCCCAAAATATCCACAAAAGAGAATTGATTGCTGCCTTGTGTCATTACACAAAATAAAAAAAAAAAAGATTTTGTTTTTATTTCTGTATATTTTTTTGTCATGTTTGGAAACTGACCTTGATAATGCTTTATTAATAATAAAATTAAGAATAATATTAATAGTTCATAACTAATAGCAATTATGATAGTAATATAAAGTAATATTAATATTAGTGCACAATAAATCATTTTAAAAGTCGCTAATTACCCAAATTTACACTCTATAAAGGTATCAACTCATAAATTGACCTTAAATACCCTTGACATGTGATGGTGACCGATGACCTGATGTAATAATTACGTAATATAATTATGTATGATAATTAGACAATATGATGTTACATTAATAAATACTGATAACATGGCCTAAAATGCTACATAATTCTACCATATCAGCAGCTCTGCTACTTCAGGGCCAACATGAGAGGGCGCACTAGTCGCCGTGAAGCATATAACGTTACTAGAACCCATGAAGTCCAGACGTGTGTGTGTTGTTCGTTCAAGGTTTTTGGTAAATAGGTTTTACCTTATTAGTTTGCCTTTAGGGTATTATTAGAATTGTAGGTCTATAATAATGTTTAGTTTGAGGATTTTTCAGTCACTGTGACCCAGGTTTGGGCACGTTTCGCTGTAGGCCTACTTATGGAAGTGACTATTGTATTTAATTATACTGTAAGGGACACATTTCTTGTATAATAAAAACAATAGAAAATAACTCCATAAAAAATTGTATTTAAAATAGCAATATATCCGCATTGGGCTGATTTACATAATTTTTGTTTTAAAATGCTTCATTTAGTTATGTCTTTCTTTTAAAAATATTTAAAAAAATATTTGTGACATTTCAATTTTTTATGTTTCTAGCTAGCCTAGCCTACTAGCTATTCAGTATTCTACTCAGACCGAGTCTAGGACGGCCCAGGGCAAGACGCTAGCCTCTACTAGCTAGGCTAGGCTCTAGGCCTCGAATAGCCCTACGCTACGCCGAATACACCGGCTAGGCCCTCAAGGGCCCTGATAAGCTAGGCTGGCCTTGGCTACTACTTACTAGGGCCTAGGCTAGGCCCTAGGCTAGGCCTAGTCGGTATAGGACCGTAGGGTAGGGGGTACGTTTGTAAAAAATCTCATACCGAAATACACTTAATTCGTGCCCATGTTTCATTAACTGAGTCTCCAAAATTGCACTCCGTCGACAGTACCTGGTTGTTACTTGTGTTGTTTGTGGCATTAATCGACCCAATCTGAGTAAAAAGGATGCCATTGTTGTAACATGTGCTCGCTCTCTAGCTCCCCGTGCGTGACCTGATGAACGAATGAGATGTCGGTGTCTTGCTATGGAACGCCAAAAAAGTTGTACAATACACCTACGTTCGGTAGCCCATGAGTCACTTGACAACTAATCTAATGCTGTGCGACCACTGATAATAGAGATCATTTTGGGTCGTAAAGGAATTTTAAAAGGTCATACGTCGTATGAATTTCTGAAAAAAAAAATCTGAATATGCTGTTACAATAGATAAATCAGAAGATAGATTCGGTGAAAATACAAAACAAAAAGACATGATCCCCAATGAATGAATCAAACTGATTCCTATTGGGGTTTTTTTTGGTTTTTTTTTTTTTTTTTTTTT